AACACGGGATGCCCAATCAACCCGTGGCATGGCAGATCTGGTTTGGCACAGCAAACGTAAGGATGATGACCAGCATCCTTATGAAACACAGCCTGGGCCGGCCAAAATCCGGCGCATCGCTACATCCCGGAATTGAAGGGATGCGAGGTCAACTGACTACGGCATGGGTTTAAATGATGAGTACACTCCCTCTGCCCACAACACGAATCGATGTTCTTCACGCTCGATGAGGAATGATAGTTCCGTTGCTTGTGACGAAGAGGTACATATGTCGTGTCGATACCAATGGACGCGGCTACGAACAGGCCTCGAGCAGTCCGTCCCGACGCTATATTACCTTGTCGACGCTTACCAGAAACACCCTTGCTCATAAAGAAATGAAGCTTCAAAAAAGGGTTCTCGTCGTCGAGGCAGGAGGCGAAACAACAGCAGTGTCGGTGTCGGTTAACACCGCAATATTGTGGGAGTCAGCTCCATTGCCTGAGGATTTCAATGCGGTAAAGACTGATTTATGACTGGTTTTGGAACGGCTTCGTCAAGAGCTTCTATTAATAGGGCGGGTATCGCGCCCGCCTGTCCACATGGAGAAATACAAATCCATCTTAGCCGAGGGGTTCTGAGGGGCGGTTTGTGCGGGATTTCGTGCCTGCCTGGCCACATGGATAAATCCAAATCCATCTTACCAGAGTCGTTCTAAGGGGTTTGTTGTTGTGTGGTGTGATGTTCCCGGCTGCTACTCTGCTGTGTTACAACGGTTCCTGCTCAAGAGTTGACAAGGAACAACGATTTTCTACGACTCGCCTTTTTCGACAAACTTTGTTTGGGATCGCTTATCTGGAGGAGCTGAGGGCAAGCAAAAGCTGGGTCTGCCTAACTGGTGCATCCGTGTGTTGCAACTACCCTCTCTATGGTGGCGCTCACGAGATCATCTGTTGTTGAACTGCATGGAACACATCGCTTACATTTTCCGCTGTAGCTCCACGGCTGAAAAAATAAGAAAAGACTCTGGCGGAACCCGCGAGCCGTGATTTTACCGGCACCCATACCGCTGCTGCACTTGTAGCGGCTTGGCTGGGAAGCTTGACGGTGATGTACAGCGAAATGGGCGTGTAGATACGTAAGATTGGGTCCAAATTCGGGATGGGATGGGGAAATGAAAGTTCGTACAAGACCCAGCAGCACACCGTTCTTGCTGAAAACATTTATCCAATTTCATGTTTTTTCTTTCCTGCTGGAGCGCGCGTTCTGTCTTCTTTCCCCTCAACTACTGCTGTAGTCGCGGTCATGTACACAGCAATCACAGCAGTCGGGGCTACTACAGCAGTTGGAGTTGGCGGTTGTAGTTGTATGCGCGGGCAGGATTTGGTGGGTTCTTCCAGACTAAATGCATACATATTGTTTGCTGAAAAAAAATGCGTAAAAAAGGTTTTGGTGGTTGTTGCTGGTTGAAGTCGACGAGCTCGCCAGTTGGAAACACGTGTCCTCTTCACGGAGGGAGGTGGGTGAGATAATGAAGGCAGGTAGGCAACGGCATCCATCCCGAAAGAAGCCAGACCCGAGGAAAATGTATTATATATACATGCGTCCTTGCAAATAACATTTACGACGGAAGACCTGCCGCCCCTTTTGAAGTGGGGATGAGCAAAGCACGCGTGCTGCGGGACACCGCGCGTTGACTCGCTGCAGAAGGAGATAAGCTACACACACGGTGGTGCACACGCCAGGGTGTGTGTGCTCTACATATCGGTCTGAAAGGAGCATCGCAACGAAACCAGACCCATGCCTGCTGAGGAGGCGACATGATGATGAGCAAGTTGACTCATGAACGTGCTACAGATGTACGAAGCGGAATGTCACAGGCACTCACGCACTGCCTGGACGCGTTGCTGCTGCTGCTGCTGCTGCTTCCTTCCACTCTTCCTTCGCTGCTGCACCAACGGATTCAACCAGCACCCCTCCTGCTGCCGAAGGCGCGGGTCCAGCGGTGGACGATGACATTGGAGCCACTCCAAGTCTGCTGCTACTGCTGCTGCTGCGGCGCAACAACGACAGCGAGGAAGTTCTACTTCGCAGATGCGCGACGAAAGCGGCAGGCAAAGGCGCCCGCGATGCTCCTGCCGTTGCCGCCGCTAGCGCGAGGGAGGGGCACGTCAGCAGCAGGAGCGCCCGCATCATGCTCCTCTTGTTCCCAAGCGTCGCTCTCCCAGTTTGATGTTGCATCTGATCGTGATCTGAATCTTACCCATGAGACCAAGAAATGATCCCCCCCCCCCCCCCCTTCTTTCCATCCCC